AGGGGCAGATGCCAGGAGAAGGGTTGCTCCCCTAACCCCTCAACTCTGGCTAGGTCAACAGAGCCGTATGCTTTGGGTGGGCTACAGACAAGGTGATCTGCAGGTGGTGGTGGTGGAAAGGACGATGAGAGGGAGAAGGTCCCCAAGGAGGCCCAGAGACCGTGACCGCCTGGGACTCAGCGGAGAAGAGGGGCTCTTGGGATTCCCATGTGCCATGGACTTTGTGCAGGGAGGTCCCCACCACCTGCCCTCACCTCAGGGGACGGTGGCGTCTGGGTTATCAGGACTGCACAAGCACAAAGCTTAGACATGAGAGAGACCTTGGAGCTTTCCTGCACCTCTATCCCCACCCCGTCCACTTTACAGTGAGGAAATGAGGCCCAGGGTGGCACTGTGCTCATGCAGACACTGTGGCTGATCCAGCCAGCACCCCTTCCCACTCCCCCCTCCTTGTCTGTCTCCAGTGCAGGAATGAGCTACTTCCAGATTCTCTTGTTGTTTAAGCTACTCTTAGTTTTCTATTACTTGAAGCCAAGACATGGTAGACATTTCCTTCCTAGAGCCCCCTTTCCCCACCGGCCAGGTTAGGCACGTTGTCCAGAGTCCTGTGTTTGTCCTCCCTTAGCAGAGATTTACGGAGTGTTGATATGTGGCGGGCACTGTGCTGGGCAGGGTGGCGGGAGAGACAAGGGCAACCAGAAGCAAACTTGGCTGCTGTGTTCCTGGGGCTCACAGTGTCGTGGGAGAGACAGACATAAATCAACACATGAATAAAACATTACAAATTGCTATAAATGAGATAAAGGAAAGAACATCATTCTGTGAAGCTTTTAACTGATTGAGAAGAGGGATTAGATACTTTGAGATGGTGGTGCTGGAGGTATTTAGTACATGGCTCTTGGCGGAGCAGTTCAGGCCGCCAGAACAGCATGTGCAAAGGCCCTGTGGTAGAGGGACAGAGTGTGGCACAGCAGAGGGACAGAAGGATGGCACTGTGGATGCTGAAAGAAAAGATCCGAGAGGGAGAGGATGTGTGAAAACTGCCCAGTGAATGAAAAGGATTTGGAGGTTTCTGAGGAGGCAGCAGGGGAGGGGACTCGGCTGCTGGGTAGAAAATGGAGGTGGGGTTATAACAATAGGCCCATTGCGTGGGTTTTCTGTGAAGAATGAGTCGATGGCCTGGCCGGTGTGGCTCAGTAGTTGAGTGTCGACCTATGAACCAGGCGGTCACTGGTTCAATTCTCGGTCAGGGCACATGCCTGGGTTGCAGGCTCGATCTCCAGTGTGGGGCGTGCAGGAGGCAGCCAATCAACGGTTCTGATCATTGATGTTTCTATCTTTCTCTTCCCTCTCCCTTCCTCTCTGAAATCAATAAAAACATATTAAAAAACAAAAAAGAGTGACAGCGTCAGCAAAGCTGCTGACACACAGGGGGTGAAGCCGACGCCCCCTACGGCTGCAGGGCCTGGCTGAGTGGAGGGTCTCCCAGGACTGGTTAGGGTGGTGCCACCTCTGCTCCACAGAGTGCTGCAGGGGTCCCGCTTCCGGTGGGTGATGATGGATTCTGTGGGAGAGCTTTTGTCCTTTGGGACATTCCACTCCCACACACCAGGGCCTCCAAGTACCGGGTGCCCTGCCTATGGGGCTGGCCCAACGGAGCCAGCGGGGTGCTGGCCTGAGGCCTTGGGTGCACAACTGCCCAGAAAGGCCGCCGCCACACTCACCCGTCTGCAGGGCCTGCTGCTCCTTCAGCAGGGCCACCTCCTGGGCCAGGCTCTCCAGCTGGCTCTTGAGCTCCTCAAGCATCTTCGGGCTCACAACATCTAGGATGGAGTCAGGAGGGCGTGGAGATGATGATGCACATGGGAGGAAGGCAGTAGGGATCGGCAGGGCAGGGGGAGGGGGGAGACTCCGTCTACCAACCATCAGGGACAAGGGGGAAGGACTCCCTCGACCTGACCTCTGGGTGTATGCTTTGTCTGTCTGCTGGTGACAGTGTAAGTATTCGCTCAGGATTTGCCTCTGCCAGGGGGACCTGTCACTTGCTCTTGCTGAGGTGAGACCTGTGTGGCGTTTGCTCAGGGACATTGCTGGGGTTCCTGTGGTGTTGGGATTGGCAGGGGCTGGGCTGGGGGTGCAGGCAGTCTTCCGTGACCCCCAACCATCCAGCCACCCTTCCAGCTCCGAAGAGAACGGAGCACAGAAAGCAGGGCCGAGGCCCTTGAGACCTCCCAGGTTCCCCTCTCCAGGCAGGAGGAATAAGACACAGATCCAGCCCGGGACCGAGTGTGGTGGCACAGGTAAGGGTGCGCGTGGCCTCGAGGTCACAGGGATGTGCGTGACCTGGAGCATGAATTCAGTGCTCGGCCTCTCTGAATTCAGTTCTCTCATCTGTAAAATGGGAAGCTAGCAGCCCCACCTGAGAGGACTCCGCAGAAAACTAGAGACTAGGAGAAATAAAGCATGTGAACAGTGCTGGGCTTGCAGTCAGCCCTGTGAGCTGGGCAATGTTTCTACACCACGGACAGCAAACTGAGGCCAGACTGAAGCAACTCGCCCAAGATCGCAGAGCCAGCAGCTGGCAGGGCTGCCTGAACCCAGGCCACATGGCTCTGAGCTTGACCTTCCCCGCCTCTGACAGCACAGACGCCTAACGTGAGCCCCAGGCCCTGCAGGGAGCTGGTGAGCGAGAGGTCTTGCTCCATGTGTGTAAGTTGAGAGCTCTGTGGGTGGACCCGTCTTCCTGAAATCCCAGGGACTTTAAGAAAACTGTGCTCAGCTTGGGGTGGGGGTGGGAAAGGGCTTCCATGGTCCATTTGGCTGGGCCTGCATGAAGTCCACGGTCATGAGGGGTGAGGTCAGAGCCTCTGTCCATCCATAAGATGCCTTGGCAGGGGAATGGCAGGAAACAAATGCAAGCAAAACCACCCTTGTGTGCACAGAAATTTGTGTTGCAACTTATCAGATATGAGGAAAATGACACCCAGATAAGTAAGGCCAAAAAGGGCGGGTTTGGGGCTGGGGAAGGAGCCTGGCGGGTTTGTGTGTGCCTCGCCTGGGGCTCTGCCTCAGCCGGTCTGCAGCAGCTCTGTCCCGGTCACATGGCGCACCAGCACAGGGTGCCACGTAAAGTGGCACAAGTTGGGCACTACACAAGGGCACTCAGCTCAGGGGACACATGGGGGCGCGAATCCAGGCCTAAGCCTTGCCCTTGGCTGTGCTGGGTCAGACCACACACGGGGTGGGTGCCTTTCTGTAATGTGTGTGTGCAAGGCACGCTCCAGGGACTGGCCCAGGAGAAGGTGCTAGCAGTGCTCCACCCGAGGAAGGTGTGGGAGGAGGGGTCCCTACTGCTCGGGGTGAGGAGTCAGGAGGCCCTCGCCCCAACGCTGTCTCTGAGGCTCAGAGTCGAGATGTGTGATTGAAATGGTTGTTCTCCAGCTTTTGTGCTAAGGACCTGTGACCCCTGTGAGGTCATCCTGCCGACCTGAGCTCCTGGGCCAGATGTGGCCACGTGGCCCCTGGAGTTCCCGCCGCCTGAGCCTCCCTGCGAGCCTCGCCTCTGGCTGACCGACCAGCTTTCCTTCCCCGAGGTAATCACTGTCACTCTTATAAAGGCTTCCAGAAAAATTCTACACATGCACAAGTAAATAGGATTTTTCCTATAAATTCCTTTTTCAAAACAAAGGCCAGCACACCATCCATTCCATTTTCAACTTTTCTTTGCTCACTTTATAAATGGAACCTTGGGATTATTTCCATCAGCTCGGCCCGTTCTGTCTGTCACCCCCCTGTGGGTCTCTCTAATCCAGATGTACCTTTACGTACATACTCCACTATCCACGGCCACTGGCCACTGGCCACGGACAGAGGAGGCTCCGAGGGGGGCCTGAGGGCGCCCACGCGCCCCTCCCTGCTTCGTGTTTTCTGCGCTCTCGGACCTGGCGCGCCTGGAACTCTCCCCGCCTCTGAGCCCTGTGGGGGTGACAGCCCCGTCCATTGCCATGGCGCTTCACTGGTGTTGTCTCAACACAGCTCGAGGTGACTTCACTGCGGGCAAGGCTCCCAGGGCAGGCCTTGCCGCAGCCAAGGTGACCCAAAGACACCCCAAGCCCCAGGGGCGACAGAGGGAGAAAAAGCTGCTTCCGGTGTCCTGGTTTGAGTTTCAAGGCTGGGATACGCTATGGAACCAAGAATTAACTTATTCCTGCCCCCCCTTCTGCATCAAGTATATCCTATGTGCCAGGCACTTTATAAGTTTTGTATCATCAGATCCTCATGACAACCCTTGGGGCAAAGGCCAGGACCCCACTTTAGAGCTGAGAAACCTGAGGTTCGGAGCTTGCAAAGCAGAGCCATTGGCTCTCTCCGGTGAGGGCCGAGCATCTCCAGACGGCTGAGCAAAAGGTTTGATTTCTTTAAAACATCAAGGGGGAGAGAAGTGGATCTGATGATCTGGAAGGTTCTTTCCGACTGTGAGAGTCAGTTCTTTCTGGCAGCCGCCCCTGCTATGGAGAGCACTCCCAGGCCCCAGGGGACTTCACTAACGTTCTCCGGACTCATCCAGAAGGAAAATGAGCCCACGGACCCAGCGAAGGAGAGGGCGACCCGCTCCCTGGAAGATGGAGAGGTGCCCTGTCCCCCTCCTTACCTTTCTTGGCATTTGCAGCCTTCTTGACCTTGGGGGACGGTGGCTCGGCGGTGACCTGGGTCAGGAGGGAGAAGAGGCAGAGGAGCAGGTAGGCCCCCCAGAGCTCCATGCTGCTGCTGCCTGCAGTGCGCCTGGGTCGGAGAGCAGTGGCGCTGTGACCAGGGCTGCACGGCTTCAGCAGCTGCCGCGAGGACCTCTGTCCAGGAAACCCTCCCAGACTTGGCTGTGGGCGCACCCAAGCAAAACAAAACAGAACGCCTGCGAAGGGGGAAGGCTGGGAGCTGCAGAGCCTCGCCTCCCAGGGAACAGCCCCCGGCATCCTGGCCCTGCCTTCTAAAATATTTTCTAGGATTCTGAAAAACACATGATAGTGTTCAGAGCTCACACCCAGGGCAGGTGCGGAGTCACGCCCTTCCCTGGAATTCGCTCAGAGAGGCTTCCCAACAGCAACAGGAGGGAAGTCCTGCCATCTCCCCATTTTACAGTCGCAGAAACTGAGGCTCAGTGAGGTTGAAGGACTTACCCAAGCTGCTCAGATGTTGGGAGCAGCACCAGTATTTAAACTAAGCAGGGCGGTTCCAGAACAGTGACGCTGCATTAGGGATGTTCGTTAGCATGAAGTGCTTAAGGAAGAGGGGAACGTGCCAGCAGAACCAGCTTGGATTTGGGTCCAAGGGCTAAAGTCAGGGGTTTGAGCATCAAAATGGCAGCTCACAGAGGCCGCCTGCAATGGATTCACCAACAGCCCCGGAGAATCTGTGGATTTCATCCTCCCGTGTGAAGGATCGCTGTGCTGGCACCATCCCCCAGGCCTCTCCAGCCGAGGGGCAGCAGGCAGGGGTAGCTTCAGCCAGGAGGTGACCTGGGGCTAATGTTCATGAGTGAACCACCCTCAGGGAAATGTCCCTGCACTAATGCACCCCTCCTCCCCCCCTTTTTATACCAATTTTCCTGCACAAAGAATGATCTTCCTAACCAAGCCCAGAGGCAGGAAAATCAGGAGAGAGCCCTAAAAGGCCCATTTTCGCTTTCAAGTTCCTGTTGTTTTTTTCCTCCAAACTGTTGGAAGTCTGAGTTATAGAAAACACCCTCTGGCCACCCCACCCACGTCAGCCCAAACAGCATGAAAACTTC